CAAGATCCATTCAGCCGGTCTGGAGATTGCTTGTAACAAACATCTATCCATCCGTCCAAACATTGTCATTTATAATATTAGTAAGATAAATACTCAAATACAACTTACCAATCATTTTAGGATATGGCAAATTCAAATTATCCATTATATGTATAAATTCCTGTAAAGTCTTAGTAAGTCTTGGGTTGTATTTCTTTTCTTCGGCTACAGTAGTTGCAGTTTGACCTTTATAGTCGTGTGCCGGGTACAATGTATAGTGGTCGGGCAAAGTAAAGATCCTGTTGTGTACAGACAGGTAGAGACGCTCCGATGAACCTTCCTGGAAGTCTGTACGACCGCAGCCACGGATAAGGAGGGTATCTCCAGTGAATGCCATACTCTGAAAAAATAAAAAAAGTTTATTTTAACATATCTTCTGAAATCTATTAAATTTTAATTACATATATTATTCTAGAGTATGTAGAAGAAAATTTACTGACTTGCAATCTGCAGGTCCTGAGTTTGAATCCCACCATGTACCAATGTGTTTTTCGATTTCCGATTTACATATGTACATTTGACGACGACGTTGTTACTGTGAAGGAAAACATTGTGTTGCAACCTGCACATATCTGAGAAGTAATTCAAAGATATGTGTGAAGTCAACCAACCCACACTTGGCCTGCGTGGTTGACTATGGCCTAATCACCCTTAACTTAGGGTAGGCTCCGAGCCCCTCGGTGGGGACGTATAGTAGCTAGCGATGTGTAGCCGATGATGATGTAGAAGAAAAAAAGAAAATTGATTTTTATTTATGAAATTAATATTTTGTTGCAACATTTGATACTACAAAATGCATTTTATATCTTATTAAAATTTACATATTGGTAGCAATTGATTATTTTATCAATTATATCCAAATTATCTTGTTTACAAGACAAGTCTTTTTATAAAAATCTAAGAATCATTTTTTTTATAAATATAATTAAATTATCGCCACACCTTAAGACTGAAAACTTCTAAAATATAAGTAATACAGACCAAAGAATGTGATCTTGCCTAAAAACAGTTTTTATGTATGTAAAAAACTCACTTGTTGATTAAATATATAAGTCAAGCAACCATTAGTGTGTCCTGGTGTAGCTGCTGCTTGTAGCTGATATTCACCAAATGTCACAAGGTCTCCGTCTACTAGATGGATGTCTGCTTGAGCACCAGATGCCTTGCCAATGATACTCCTTGTACCAGGCAGGAGGGATTTTAACTTGCCGGTACCAGTTACATGGTCAGCATGCATATGTGTGTTCACTGGAAATTATAAACAAACATCAATAACATCAGCTCATTATACTGGAGGTCTGAGTCTACCCTTAAATAAGTGCGACTAGGCCATAGTCAATTGCTTTGGCCCAGTGCGGGTTGATTGACTTTAATCATATGTGTGAATTTCTAAGCAAATATATGCAAACAAATTCAAGAATGTACAAATCAATTAATGTTAATACAAATCAAACACATTGGTACATGGCAGGAACTGAACCAAGGGCCTGCAGATTACAAGTTCTTAACCCCTGAGCCGCCCATGCTCATAAACAAACATGAAATGATATGGATCTAATTCCTTTGTACAGATTAGGAAGTTATGTAATAAACAAGATGATTTGAGCTCGTAGATAATGATATTCTCAATTAGGCTATAGAATTAATTGGCAGTGTTAACTTAGTAGAGAAACCAACATGACAAGCACATATAATATCTAGATGTATGAATGTAGAAGAGGTGAGAAATGTGCTAAGACCCTGTCAATAGGTATCTGTCATCTCTACCCTGTCATCTCTCTCTCTTAGTTACAGGTGTGTTATGAAGATAAAATAATTGAACATGAAACTTACTTGCATAAATCAATTTAAATCCCAATTCGTTAATTAATGTAGCATCTCTCTCTGCATGTTCTAAAACTGGATCAATTAACACTGCTTCTTTTGTCCGTTTGTCTGCCAACAGATATGTGTATGTACTACTCACTGTGTCGAATAACTGAAAGAATAAGAAACAAGACATTACTATGACATTCCTAATGTAAAAAAATGTATAAAACATATTTAAACCACATTTCTTGAAGAGAATTAGAGAATCTCCATAACAGCGCACCAGATCATGGTGAAATTTGGAAAGAACATAATCTGAAAGGACACATAGCCTACTAATAAAGGTTTTTCTTTTAATTCTTTACGGACATTGTCACAAGCAAAAGCTTGTACTTTAAATTTTACTTAAATAAGTAATAAAAATGAATACTAACCTGTCTAAAGAAGAAATTGTGTTCCTGATTCACAGCAGAACTCAATAATCTAACATGATGTGCTTTATTTAGCACACATAAAGATTTTGCAAATTTATACATAGGCAATGATACTTTTTGCAGCATTCTGAAAAAGATTCAAATGTGTTATGTAACAATTCAATAAGGTGTATATACTGCGTATGTAGCAGTTAGCTGTTATTGTTCACACATTTGTATTCACAATGATGTAACTGGAAAATAAACAATTGGTCATTACAAGTGTCATTTCAACAAAGTTATTTATTAACAGTACTCAATTACATAATAGAAATATATAAACAAGGTACTATGCAATGTTCATGCATATTTTGTCTACTTATAACATGTTAATAGCCCTGGATATAATGAAAAGAGTTTGACATCTTAAATGCATTAGCGGCCTTATGAGCACAGCGACAAACTTTAGGAGAGGAGAGAGAATTATCTGACACTTTATTAGTATTAAGGTATTAACGAATTTTCACATTTATCCGTGAATTTTTGAAGAATTAACACGTAAGTTTATAAATAAAAAGAGTCACAACTATATATACAGAATAGACCAAATTACAGATATAATTAGAATAAGGAATATGTGTATCCCACTTACATGAAGATGGTGTTATTTTTAACACAACTCCTATCGTAAGAAAAAACAATAATTTTAACGAATAAAGATAAAGTTATTGTATATCTTATCTTTGTTAAAAATGAAGAAGAAATAAATATTACGCCATCCAAACTAATAGAACAATCAGAGTATAAGACAGAAGGTTGACTTCTGATCTAGATGTAAATGTAATTCAGTATTTGTAAAAAATATTCAATAAAATAATCAAGCAATGAAGCATAACCCTAACTTATGTGACGTTTTAACGTCAACGTTTGTTTACATTTTTATAGTAACATTCAATTGTATTTCGGATTCATTCAAATTTATGAGATCTAAAAAAATTATCAATCGATCAAAACATAGAAACACAAATGATACTTTTTAGTTGAATTTTTGAGAACTTGATAATTAATCATAAATATCAAAGACATTATTTACTAAAGCATGATAAAACTGGTTCATAATAAAATTTTAATTCATTAATCTATGAACAATTAATATAAACGTCAAACACATCAAACATAAAGAAAGAAGGAAAATGTAAAAAAAACAATAAAAATATCTAAACCAGCCCAAATCAAACCTCGGGTAAACATTTCTTAATATATTAGGTGTGTAATTTTTGTGACTAAATTAATGGAAAAATAAATTGTCCAACCATTTTAATGTAAAAAGAAAACGCACTATTGCAACTTTCATCCCTTTCATCATACATACTTATTTGTATGTGTAGTAGTTTGTTGTTTTCCTCTCTCTTTTTACCGTACAGTTTTGATGTTTTCTCTTTCTAACTTTACCAATCATCTGGTAACGTCATTGACCTCCTTCATCCCCACTATTCTAGTCAATATTTTGCTCTAGTACGCGAATGGTTGGTTCGATGTGTGCGTGGAAACTGGTATTGCGACTGTGCAATGTATTGATGTAAACATTCTCTTGTCACTTTGTTTCAGTGCGTTTAGAAGATTGTATGGAAATCTTTATAGTCGCATCTAAAAAGAAAATGTAAACAGCTGATTATACAACATAATTAAATTTCTGTGATACAGTGTCTTAACGCCCAAGTGAAGTTAGGCCGCCAAATTACAAATGCTATAAAAATTCTTTGTCGTAGTAGTGATTACTAAAATTTAAAATTACGCTTTAATCTTAAATGTACGAAGAGATTTAAATTAAAGGATTATTATGTGTTGAATACATGGTAAATACAATATACCATATTCATTATAAGTTATAACATTCTTAAAATATTGTGCTGATTTGACTGCTGCTTTGAGACGCATTTGGTAAGCATGTTTTACATTTTTAAACCATTAGATAATAAATGAAATAGTTGACATTTTTAGTTTCACTTTGAATAAACAGTTCCTGTTTATAATTGTCATAGATTTGTTCTGTAAACAACTTCGTCATTGTAAACTGGAGTATGACTAGGTAGGCTATGTATTTCTAAATGTATGTATTTAATATGACGCAAAATTTGTAGGTAACCAACACATTTACTGTTTAGAAAATTGCGCATAAAATTTATATTATTTTGATTTTCTTTATTTTATTAAAACTAATATCAATATGAGAACACTATTAATGTTGATTGAAATATTATTAAATTACGACTTTATCAAATTATTAAGAAATAATATCTTTCCGTTTATTCGTTAATTGCCTTTAATTACATATTACCGGTCAAACAGGCTTTTATCAATAAGTCGCGTGCTTAATTACGTACTACGTAATATTATTCCTTTATTGCTCGTAAATATTATTATGATTTAAATATTATTTGAGTAGAAGTTCTTTTGTTTTTAATTCGTTGTTGTAATAGTAGATGATAATTAAATATGCGCGTGACAAAACTGAACGGTACAGTCGCCAACAAAACCACAAATTCACTATCGATTTTGACCGTGACCCAGTTGTCCATTTCCTACTTTTCGGAACACTTACATAATTATAACAACGCAAATTCATTATCTTAAATGATTCAAACAGTAACTCTGAAAAAACACATATGCATGGAAACAAAACAAAGCAAAATTCCCGCGCATTGCAACATTCGCTCGCAGAAATAGAAAATTATTTTGATGTCTGTCTGTCCTTGTGAAGCTTTAAACGAAAATGAAATCGCTGCTTATCCACCGGCTTATAAAAAACTAACTGTACCGTAAAATGCGTTGATTAAAAAGCTGAAATAATTAGAAAAACGTTACCTTTTTGATGATTTTGTAGATATTTTAGTTCTCACAATGCCCTTTATTTTTATAAGAAGTTTTCGTTCCTGCACTTATTGTGATTGCATAGTAAATGATTTAGAAAAAAAATATCGTATAATGGATGCCCAGGCCTCGCTTTGTTTTAATTAGAATTAATATTTATCAACAAAAATCTTATAGTAGATAAAACTAGCAGACATAAATCGTAGCGACCTATCAAAGGTCTATTGCATAGAATCACGGACTGTTAAGGTCAAAAGGCCCAAATCCGAAATTCGATTAACGTTCGAAACCATGACCTTGCTCAAAGGCTTGGTGTCAAACTTTCCAAGTTGCAACAATCCGTGATCAGCAATCGAGATAACGAAAATGAAAAATTGCTTTTAAAATAGTGTTTGAGGGAAACAAAACGTATGGCCAGAGAATTCTGCTGTGCATTGATAGGTCAGTCAGATTCTCACCTAATAGTTACAACGAGCTATGTACATTTACAACAGCTATCGAGAAAACGGCTCTAACTTTTCAGATTAAAATATTGATGTTGAAGGACTTCATTTTAAATTTAATTTTTTAAATAAAACATCATTCTAAATATAAAAAAAAAATAGATTTACAATGACTTTTAATTTATTAATTTAGAACCTTTTTTCTGATCTTAATTTAAATTTAATTTTTTTAAATAAAACATCATTCTAAATTTAAAAAAAAATAGATTTACAATGACGTTGTTTAAATTTCGAATGAATTCTTTTTAAATTTAAAATGAAGATCAGAAAAAAGGTTCTAAATTAATAAATTAAAATAATAATAATAATATTCTAAATTTAAAAACTTTTTTTTATTTAGAATGAAGTCCTTTTTATACCGCAGACTATAGGTTTGTTCACGGTTACTATAAACTACTATAAGTATCATTCAATATAATCCATCCGCGCATCGTCTCAAGGACGAGCATCAAGTTTTCAATTATTCGCAGAATCTGTAAAACGCAGTAAGGATGTTGACGATGACTTGTAATGGCTGTATAAAATGTTTGAATAGACTATGAAGGTCGTTCTCAGATAACCGATAGTGTGCTTCGACACGTGTTGCTTCAAGTACACAACACTTGTACTTAAATAAGTTGTATTTCCTTGTTATAAGTCAAGTATATAAATAAATATTATAAATTCATAAGAAATTACTTCTATACTCTTAAATTTCTGGTCTAATAAAGGTTCGAAATATCGTCATAAAATGAAGTCGTATCCGTATTAAACGCTTAAGGCAAAGAAATAAGTCTAATCACGGTAATTTTTTCTGTTTACTTTTAAATTTTTTCAACCTGAAAAATTACTGGCAGAATTACATGTTTTGTAGTTAGTATTGTATACCACATTAGTGTAATACTACTAGAGTCTTTGTTTTATATTATATTATCTTGAACACCTATTATCAATATGTAGGACACGATATCAGGATTAGGCCGAACTGCGCAGTCGCTGTGTCACTTGTGTTATTCGCAATTTTTTTTTATTAGCTACCAGACGAAGGACGTTTGGACGATTCGGTCACGCTCGAATAGCTAAGGCGCAGTTACGCTTTGTTTACGTTACATGTAAATAAACGCAGGATTTATTAAGAAAAATATAAGAATGATTCACAAAGATTTATCACAAAAAGCAATAACTATATTTTTGCAGTCAAAATACATTTAAACCCGTCTACTGCGACTGAAATCACTACGTAAGATAATAGCGCGTGATTTTTTTTGTAACTTTAAAGGTCTGATTTTTTTTTATTTATTATTGACATAACCTAGGTCGCAAACCAGGTTCAAACTATAAATCTTATAAGTGTTGGGTACCTTAAAACTGGACCATTTAGTACTTTCAGCAACAACACATTTTGTTATTCCAAATTTACAAAGAGAATATTAGGATAACAATTATAGTTTTTCTACATGTATTTCAGCAGTGGAAACCTAAAGCTATATTTCGTTGGTAAATATTCGTCTTTCAACCTCTTTATGAACCGCACTGAACTGAACTTAACCCTTTTGCGTACAAAGCATTCGTCATGCTTAGGTATTTGAGACTACTAATGGTATTGGACAATAGCGTAAGAGGCTAAGAGCTAGACTAGACGGCTTAGGTTCGCTGCCCTCTCGCGGCGAGACGGGGTGTGTCTGCACCTTTATATCTCCAAATAGTTATAACTACACGCTCAAAGCGATTAGAAATATCTTTTGTAGTAAGAATTGGATTCCACAAATCCGTCCGTGCGTATTAAAAAACTTAGAATGATAACTTCCAGACGGTGTCGTACATCTATCAAATTTCATTCAGATCCATGTAGCATTAGTAATATATCTTTTCATAAGCCTCGACATTGTCTTGAGACAGTCAGGAACTTAATTGCCACTAAGGGAGAGTCTTACGTTGATAGTAAATCTGTACTAAGGTACTACTTAGGCAAAAATTTAACTAATTTGAATCAGGCAATAAGAAATGTAGGTAGTTTTTGACTACCCTGCTTAGGTTTTACACTATGTTTACTCTTATCTAACCTAAATATAAACTAGCAAAGTGGCAGTTCCAAGACTTGGCTATATAATTGTTATCTTGTCTTTGTCGAGGGTTTCGTCGTACAATAGACAATTACCTCACTCCGTGCATAATTATAGCTTTGTGAGCGTACTTCACGTTTAATGATAACGATATAATAGCGCACTTTGAAAACTTCTATACCTGGGCAGATAGGATAAATTTAAACTCCATCATATTTGTGCACGTTTTGTTTAAAAAACTCAAGATCTTTTGAGAGAATTAAAAAAGTTTAAAAGAGTTAAATATTATAAATTCGAATGTTTAGACGAATGGATGGATGTTTGTTTGAATGAATTACCGGAACGGCTGAAATTTGGCATAGATGTAGAACATAGTCTGGATGAACAAATATGCTACATATTCAGTTTGTTTTTAATTCCGCGCGGACGAAGTCGCCGGCGACAGCTAGTTAAATAATAAATCTTAGTAAATTTTAGCAACGATCCGCATTAAGCATTCATATTGTGACATGAAACAATTGACCGTGAACTCCAGACGAAGCTCTATCACGTCTGTCTTATTTGAAGTCTAAGGCTGCCAGTCCACCAGAGCGGAGCGAGGCAGCGGAGCCGAGAAACGGACTAATGCGGAGTGGAGTTGCGTTGTTTTTCAATATGCGGAGCTAGGCAGCAAGTACGCGACGAGTGATTTCGAGCTCCCGGCGTGGGGCGATTGGTTTAGTTCTACGCGAAATGTCAGTGATAGCAGACATGCCATCGAAAAAGTTGATACATTATTACCTTACATTGCTTGAGGAAGAAGAGTTGGAGTCAGAAGAAGCCGAAATACTTACCATATACCATTTGAACAATTCTATGAGGAAACATAGATTTTGGTTAAGAAATCATATCAAACATCGTTCAGAACACAGTGAATATTTTACTTTTTTCCAAACAGCTGATGAAGAAACTTTCGAAAATTCTTATAGAGTTTCAAGATGTACTTTTCGCTTCCCCGCTCCGCATCCCCGCACGTTTCCCCGCTCCGTTTCCCCGCTCCGCTTACCGGTTTTATATGAAATTTTAAACTAGCTCGCAAGTCCCTGTCCACTTAAGAGGAGCGGAGATTTTGTGC